CTATTATTATTGTTATTATTTTTCAAATTAAAAATTATGTAGATATCGGGCTTAAGAAATAGATAATAAATAATATGTTGTTCTGGAGAAGTAAACATTATGTCAAAAATAGGAAACAATCCAATCTCAATAACATATTTGGGTACTATAATTAAAATTAGAGTCTTTGAAGGACCATTTTAGACCATTTTATGATTTAACTTATCTTTCGAATATTTATAATTAACATAGTATAAGAGTATTTAATATCTTAAGCTATAAATGTTTAATACATACTTTTTTTTATAACTTTTTAGTGAACTACACATGAATTTTTCTATACTTCTCTAAACTATTCCGTTTCAGAAATTAAGAAACTTATCTTGAGTATTAAGTTTCTTAATCAACAAATTACACTGATGTTAATAAAAAAATAACATCCGAGATAGATCTCATACTTTCTAACATACAACAGTAGTCATTGAAGGAATAAAAAATGTAAATATTTAAATTCTTCTATAATATTCACACAAAGACGATATACCAACAAGATGCAGTGTACAGGTTTGTTTCATAGACATGTGCAAATGTTTTAAGGAGGTGTTACAGCGAGGGGGGTATGGTACTTCCAATACATTTTTTCGATTTGAGCCCCCATATTATCATATTTGCTTAGCTTTTCCTATTAATAAGAAAGAATTTTTGCAAAAAGCGTGTCAAAAATGACAATCGTTTTTGATAACGGTTGTACCAATTATGTGTACCTATTCGGCAAGGAAATATAATTTATTTTTTTGCTCGTAAACCAATTAGTATACGAAAAAATGGGAAGTGTAAAAAAGGTTTCTAAATGAAATGTAATATTAAAAGATATTTTTCTTGTTGGAATTGGCTAACGTAGAAAAAAGTTGTGAGAGAAATAAAACCAAGGGGTGCTAATTATTTCTTTCATTCAAAGACATAAACCAGAAAAAAAAGACTACCAAATGGTATATTAAGCATTAAGAACGGTAAGGGTAATTTACCGTTCGAAGACAATGTTTGGAGGCTGAGCGAAGCGAAGCCTCCAATTTTGTCTGAGAACGGTATAACTCTTAACGTTCGTGATGCTTATACTATTTTTTGCACGATCGCAATAAATGAAAACGAAATTATATATACGTATTTAATTTTTTATGTAACGTCAAAAATTACGTTTCTGAATAAATTTGCGAAGCAGGTTTTTTAAAATCTACTGATGTTTATTGTTGTCACGGCTTCCTTAATTGACGAAATTGACAGTTCTAGAATAGAATAGAAATTGAAAAAACATGTACTGCTCCAATTTCTGTAAGCAATTGTACAAACTGTACATTTAATTTCAACATTAATAAATAGATTTAAAATACATCTTTATTTTATATCAATTACCCACATTTTAAACTGAATTCTAGAAAACTCATTCCAAATCAATGCGATGTTGAAAATGTCTATTTTGACAGTTATTCACTTACCGTTCTAAAACGGTAAGTGAATTACTTACCGTTTTGTTAGCCTTAGCAACCAGTAAGCGCATCCTACTGTCGTAGAAACAAACATGGTAAGTGAACTAAAAAAGCTTGATCGTGCAAAAAAGTACCATTCAACTATAGTAGTTGTTAACGTGTACCAAATTTCAAATTTCTAAATTTAACCTTAAAATATTTGCACATTATGAAACACCCTGTAGATTAAAACCGAAATTGGGTTTTGTTTCGATATTCGGTAGATTCAACAAATTTGTAGAATGTTTCTTCTCTATGATTTCGGCTTAAATAAAAATTAATTTGTTATTAATATCTTTACATTGATTTGATTGATACATAAATAGAACGGAGTAATTAAAAAATCAACCACTATGAAAAAAGAAAAACAAAAAAAAACTGTAAATTGTGAGATAAAGTATACGAATCAGAAGATGAAGGGACTGAAACTTCTCCATCTCTACTTTATATAAAGGGTGTCCAGAATGAACAGGAAATACTTCAGTGGTACTTAGCTTACTTGAGTGAAAATAAACCGATTGAAATCAATTTGCCTTGATACGTCGAAAAGTTGAATATTAGAAAAAAAAAACATTATTTCAATCGTTAAGGCAATTTCTGTAGATCAATATCTACATTTTCTCAAAACCTCTACCAACGAAATAAATATGACAAAGAAACAAGCGATTCAAAGGTGTTTTTAGCAAACTTTATATTTCATATTCAATTACCATAAAAACTTGTCAAATTTCATGAAATGTCCCTAAATTTTTTTTTAAATATTTTAAACGATTTCTTTTTAAAGATACAAAATCTTACTAATGTAACTTGATCTAAATCATCAAGTTACCCTTGAAGTATAACCCATTAACTTACGGACGCCCTGTATATAAAATCATTAAAAAAAGCGCAACTAAATAAATATAAAAATGGACTTAGATGAGCACTTTTTCCGACAAGAAATTACCTGACTTTATATTAGACGTTCACAAACCTGCTTTTTCAAGTATAGTCACTCACTTTTTTTCAAAACCACCACCTCCACCGCCAACAAAGAGGGTACAAAGTGATCCACAGGTTTTAAAATACAAATATAAACTAAATATCAAAGTCACCACAACATATTGCACCTTCACCTGTCCCCTTATTGGCGGGTCAGAGTTGAGTCTAGCCCTCTCTTTCGCACCCCCACGGCCGCCGACACGAAGACAGAGAAAGGGGGGTGGAAACGTCAAACGCATGAATGAAAGGATTTCGTTAACCCCGTTTATGTCATGTATTAGGGGGTGTTTTAGTGGACTAGATAAGGACACATGATATTGTCGTGAAATTGGCCGGCGGTGGGGGCCATCCGCTTCCCGAGGGTTCTACTGATTTTGATTGATAAGTGATTTTGCCATTAAGGGCTCTGTCACTGCATTTGTGGCGTAAGGCGGGAAGTTGTTTATTACGTTTTTTTTTAATTAATGGCTGTAAATGCGTCGAAGCACGTGCATCGCAAATTTAATATAAATACGAGTATACGACTTTACACATTGTCTCAAAATAAAAAAAATTAAAAAAATAGAAGAAATACAAGTTGTCGAACTATTTTGTGATCGTGGAACTTCCACACAATACTGCAATGTGAACACATTAAAAATACACTGAGGGAAATCGATCGATAAAAAAAATTTGCTACACTGAAATAAACCCACTATAGTCTGTTTGGAAATGAAAGAGAGTAATAAAACCCCGAGATAAGAACCGGCCATGGGCGTGGTAATATTTCGTTTCAGGTAATTATCGGGTAACACTAATGCTAACAAAAATGACAGGAATTGGAAAATCGACTATCTACAGACTTTTAAAGGAAACAAAAAATGAACAAGATACTGTAAATCCCCCAAAATCATCTACAGGGAGGTCAAAAGTCGTTATAGATGATTTCTTCAAAAATGTCATTCGCAGAAAAGTACACTCATTTTATTTTAAAAAAGAAATACCAACGCTAAACAAAATTTTAAGTGAACTTTCAGAGGACAACGATTTGCCAAAAATCAGTAGAAGCAAATTATGGGCCGTCTTACGAGAGTTGAATTTTTGCTGGGAAAAGCAGAACAGGAAGTCAGTTCTTATCGATAAAGATGAAATTATTTGTTGGCGAAGATCCTACTTAAGATCAATTAGAAAATTCCGTGACGAAGGGAGGAATATTTATTATCTAGACGAAACTTGGGTCAACGAGGGATATACTGTAACAAAAGTATGGCAAGATAAAAATGTAAAAAGTTTTCGACAAGCATTTTTGGATGGACTTTCAACAGGGTTCAAGGCACCTTCAGGTAAAGGGCGAAGATTAATAGTGACACATATAGGTAGTGCCAGTGGTTTTGTAGATGGCGGTTTACTTTTATTTGAATCTAAAAATACAGGTGACTATCACGAAGACATGAACGCAGATGTTTTCGAAGAGTATTTTACACAGATGTTGGATCTTATTCCTCCGGGGTCTGTAATTGTCATGGATAATGCCAGTTACCATTCACGGCAGACCGAGCGGACGCCTACGACTGCTTGGAGGAAAGCCGATATAATTCAATGGTTATCCGGAAAAAACATTTCTTTTGAAACAAATATGGTGAAAAAGGAACTTTTGACACTTGTCAATCTTAATAAAGATCAGAAAAAATATGTTATCGATGAAATGGCAACAAATCGCCAAATAACGGTACTACGGTTACCACCTTATCACTGTGAACTTAACCCAATCGAATTAGTCTGGGCGCAGGTAAAAGGAGATGTAGCGCGAAATAATACGACGTTTAAATTAAGTGACGTGAAAATTTTGTTAAAAAATTCCTTGGAACGAGTAACTG